CTATGTGTAGCCAAGGGAAAGGCTTGCCACTGCTCATACAATTGCAGCAGGCGCCAAGTTGCAACAGCAAAGCATTACAACTATTTGCTGACCTTTTTCTCTATGCTGCAGTGTTGAAGCTGCCCTGGATGCCAGGAGAACAATTTTCAAGTTCTCTTTTTTTTCACTGGTGGCTCTGTGCCCTCAGTCATCACCAAACCAATTTCATCATGTTTCTGAATGGCATTGCCATTCCTCAAGGCCAAAATCTTCAACTTGCCATGTTCCAACTGAAATGGCACCATCTGCCCATTTTCAATTTCTTTCATCAAAAAGTATGGCACCAAAGTGGATTCAGCAGGTTCTTTGCATATCTTGGGTGGCAGGACCCAAAATTCTTTCCCATCAAGCTTTCCACTACCAAATAATTTGCTCTTTGGCTCAGACAAGAGAATGGCATTGACATGCCCAGCCATGGGCACCAAAATCAGGTCATGTTTCTTCATGGGCTGCATGGCAAAGACTTTGATGCCTTTACCAGGCACAGCCACACATTGGATGAAGTTCTCATCAGTGTCATTGGCTTCATAAGAATCAAAAAGCATTTGGTAGACCTGGCTTTTGGCAAGCTCATCTAGGCACTTCAGACTGGGGAATGCACTGGCCAATGCAGGCCCTGAAATCACAACTCCTTCTTTTTGCTTGGTTGCCTTGACCTTGTCCATGATTTCACTACCATCCAGTTTCAAGCTAGTTGCTTGGTTGGTCACCAAGTCCTTGTTGGAGAGGTGTGCATGGGTTGCATCCAGCTTGTCCAAGGTGAAGATCACATTGGCATAGTCTTTGTGGGTGTATGTTTTGCCAACTTCCAGCTGCACTTTCAACCCAGCCATAAACATTGGATTCTGCCCATCTTGCAGAGAAACAGCATCTGCTGTCTTGGGTGGAGCAGAAGCTGGCTTGGAGGGCTGCTGCTGGCAGCCTGTTTTCAATTCATCTTCAAACTTGGCTTTGATCTCCCCAAGGCTAGGGAATTGAGTGGGGTCTCTTCCAGATTTCTCTTTCCCCAGAAGGTGCAAAGTGGTCCTCAAGCACAGCCTGCCAAAAAGCTTTGTCTTCTCATAGGCACCCACATTGGTACCAGCCATGGAGCCCCAGCACTGTGACAGCATATTCTCAGCTTCCATGACTTGGAGTTGCTTTTTCTTGCTCTTCAGCATTTGGATGTCTCCCTTGGTCAAGTACCTGTAGAAGTTGTCAACTCTTTTACCTTCTGGGCATGAGACTTGGGTGGCCAAAATAGCAATCTTGACAAAAACAGTCATGTTGGTGGAGACAAGGTCAGTATCCACTAGGGTGGTGAAGAAATCCTTTCCCACAAGGCAGGAGCCTCCAAACTGCTTTTGGAATTCTTGGGCAAACTTTATGAGTGGATAACCCTCACCTTTCCCACCACCAAGATTCTTGACCAGCTTGCCAATGCACTTGGCATACCCAGCCACCTGGTGTGAAATGCAGCACTGGGATGCCAACTTGTCCCAGTCAAAGGTGTTGCCTACCTTTGCAGCATTGGCAATGGTGAGTGCTAACTCCAACTCACCCTGTGCCTCAAAAATCCCATTCACACTGTTCAAGGCATCAGCTATCAGTGCTGGTAGTTTTGGGAATGCCTCCTCAACATACCAAGGGATGACAACCCAATTCCAGCCAACTGTGGCCATCTCTTTCAGCACAGCATCCTTCCCAAGCATTTCCAAGCTAAGGTTGCCATTGGAATCTTTCAAGCTTTCTTCTGGTGTTTTGCAACCATGTGCCAAGGCTCTGCAAAACTGGGATGTATGTGTGGAAGATACAGTCAAGTACCTCTCAGTACCCAAAATAGGACACATCAAGTCAGAGCTGGCAGCTACCAACTCCTTGTTGAAGTCCATTTGTGGCTTCCTCTTTGCATCATCTGGATGCATTTCAAAGCACACACTGCCAATGAGCTGGTCCATGGCAGCACCAGTCTCCACTATTTTGGACCCTTTCTGGTGCATATGGAATGGCTGGACCCCACTCCCCCCTCTGTTTTGTGGGTGGACAAGCAAGCTATTTGGTGAAAGCTTGGCATGGAATGCCAAATTGTTGGCAAGCAGCACATCCAAAACACCTTGCCATTTCCCTAGAAGCCCTTTGGAGCCATCATCTAGGGCTTTTTGCAAAGCCTCCTTCACAGCTGGTGCCAAGGACATACTGGCAAGCAAGGCCCAAATGCCACAGATTTAGCCAATCTCTTGAGGCTGAAAAAACTACAAATCATTGTTTCTTTAAGTGGCATGCTGATTCCAAGTTGGAAATTGATGTGGGTCTATGAAGGCAACCCCATATGTATGTATAGGATTTGCAGTGTGCAAAGCCATCTGCTGCCCAGCATTTTTTTCCACCATTGGCATCTGGGTTAAATCATATCTGTACAGTGGCTGCACTACTTGACACCATTCATGAACTTGTACTTCTCAATCAGTTGCATCTTCTCTTCCATGGTGACCTGCCAAGTTGCCATGGCTTCCAAAGGTGTCCTGCAAAATCATTCATGCCCAATGCAAAGCTGCCAGTGTGGGCTATAGAAATGTTTGTGGTGGTACCACATGCATTCAAAACAAATTTGTGAACCCACACAAAAAAAAAGCATGCATGCAGTCCTCCAGTCAGACCACCCAGAACTCCATTGAACTGCATACCATAGCTCATTGTTGTAGTTCACCCAGCCACTGTACAGCAAGGTGCCCTTCCATGGCTCTCTATGCAGGGTGTCCATAACTGCTCTGCAAAAACACAGGGTGGCTGGCTTTCTCAAGAACCTCTATAAGGCAGCAGTGGTCAGCATTTTAGAAAAACAAAGCAACTGGGTTCAAATAAAATTGTTTCTGCACCTTGTGTTTGTCCAGCCATGTTGAAGGCTAAGCCATGTTACTTCCTGGCTGTTTGTTTGTCACTCAAATTCCGAAATTTCAAATCAAGCAGCATTGACATGTGTCCTTTGAAATACTGCTTTGCATCTCAACCAAAACAACAAACACATTCAAAAATAATTGTAAACATTGGTGAAAAAATGCTGTAGCTAACACCTTGGCTAAGTGGTTAGCCAAATGGGCTAACCCCTTAGCTAAATGGTTAAGTTGAATTTAAGTTGAACAGGCTAACCACTTAGCTAACTGCTACCTAAGTGGGCTAAAGGTTTAAGAGGTTACCGAATCGGTTAGTAACTTGCTATCTATAAGGCTAAACATTTATATAACTTGCAGTAGTTGTAAGTCTGTTACAGGAAATTGTAATTGACATACATGTGACTTACTAAAGTACTTAGCAACCCCCTAAGTACTTAGCAAACCCCAGGCTCATCTAAGTAACTTATGCCGCGGTCATCTTCTTGTGCCGCAAACGGTGTGCCGTTGGGAAGTCCATGATATACATGTCATTCTTGCTGGATGAATCAATTGTTTGTGGCATTGATTTTTCTAACACTCTACAGGGGCACACATGTTTTTGAGACATATTCTTCTTGAGATAGAAACTCATGGGGATGGCTTCTCAATAGCTTGACTCGCACAGAAGAGAGAACAGTAGAAGAGAAGAGTAGAGTAGAAGAGACTATATACAGAAGAGTAGAGAAGAGAATCGAATTGAAGAGTAGAAGTGATTAGAGAGGCCTAGAGCAGAGAAGGGAAGAGTAGAAAAGATCCCTGCTGCCTTGCCCTGCTGCCTTGCCTTGCAAAATCCAGATCTCGCACAGATCTCGTAAAGACCTCGTAAGGATCTCGTAAAAATAACGCAATGAGCATGACATGTAGAACTCCTGGTCTTCTAGAGGTCAAGTTGATGGTGTGCCATGCGGTTTACAACGCTTTGTGTCAGGTTTAAGACTTTAAACGGTACAAAGCGTTGCAGTCCGCATAGGAACCCTATGAAAACAATGTGCACATACATGGATCGGCAAAGTGATCGGCTGCAGAAAAGAAAACTGTTACCTGAGTACTTGGATGTACTCGGTGTGCCAATGGGGAAAACCATCATGGATGACATTCTTAGAGATTAAATATGTTGTTCCGACAATGGGAATTATATCTGAGAACTTGGGTTGATAGAAAACAATTTGTAGGTGTGCCATGCGTTCCTTGACATTTGAGGTGAGGTCAAGGAATTCACGAACTGATGTAAAATGTACCAAATCCCTTAGGAAAATAACAAACCAATCCAAAAACCTGTCCGTGAGGGCCGGTGTGCCATGGTGATTTGCACATGGCGTAAGTTCTTGGGGTCGTGGGGTAAGCGGTGTGCCATGCGGTGGGGTAAGTTCATAGATTTTGGGTCAAGTTACCCCCCGGACTCGTAACACGGTTTATAATATGTATTCTAATGGGACTCAATGCGGTTCTGGGGGCATCTCATCGTAGCAACTAACCAACCTATATATTATTGTAAGAAATCGGGGCACCAATGAAGGGACATAGATCATTCATAAATCCTACTGCGTTTCAACGGGATTGCCTGACATGTGCTTAAAACAAATTAAACACCCATAGGTTGAATGATACCTTTTTACTGGAAACAAATAATGACTTTGGCTTGAAGATTCTTCGGTCACATCGTAATCATCAGCTAACAAGCATGATCGCCTAGTGAAGATATCATGCAAATTTAGTTAACTGGCGCTGCGATATATTGGTGAATATTTGCGGTTTCATGCATCTGTCACGTCGATTGTTGCAAAACTCCCTTGCCACCGTTCAACATTCTTCATGCATAGGTGCAATTTGCATTTCATGCCTCTGCACAGTTCCTTTTGCTTCGCTTTACACCATGTGCGAGTTTTCCACGCCGCAGCTTTCAAACATATCAACTTAGTGTGCTCCAACGCCCCAGCGACTTTCTTCACACCTTGAGGCCCTTTCCGCTTGCTGTGCTCGCTTCCATTGCAATGCTGAACGCACTTTGCCTTTGATTGTGCGCATCTTTGTTCTGCTACACTTCAGCAGGATATGGCGCTTTACTTTAAAGTTGGAACCTTCGATGAATATCACGTTGACGAGGCCGGTCGGCTTTTTCAAAGTCAATCTCGCTTTTTGAAGCTTCCCCTTTGCCTTTCTTTTTTGTATCCGCCAGGTGGACTTATTCAAGGTGGGTTGTGCTGGCCGTATGTTAAGAAGCATCGCGCGTTCGAGTTTTAGTGCTGTCTTGTCATTCCCAAGCTGTTTGGTTTCAATCGCTTTCGCTCACTGCTTCCCTTCTTCCTGCAACTTCCCGTCTGCCAATGCCTGTTGCATATCCAGGACTACGTCGCCACCAACTTGCGTGTCCTAAGCGGCCGCACAGCTTGGTGCGACATGCTGGAAGAGGAGCATCGAGCTGACGAGGCCGGTCGGCTATTTCAAAGTCACTCTCACCTTCTGAAGCTTCCCCTTTGCCTTCCTTTTTTGTATCCGCCAGGTGAACTCCTTCAAGGTGGGTTGTGCTGGCCGTATGTTAAGAAGCATCGCGCGTTCGAGTTTTAGTGCTGTCTTGTCATTCCCAAGCTGTTTGGTTTCAATCGCTTTCGCTCACTGCTTCCCTTCTTCCTGCAACTTCCCGTCTGCCAATGCCTGTTGCATATCCAGGCCTACGTCGCCACCAACTTGCGTGTCCTAAGCGGCCGCACAGCTTGGTGCGACATGCTCGAAGAGGAGCATCGAGCTGACGAGGCCGGTCGGCTTGTTCCACTCTCTATTCTTATAACATTTTTTTTTCATGTTTGGCGACAAATTTCCTCTGTTTTCTGGTAACCTTTTTGGTTTTTTATCGGCACATATCGGACAGATTTCTCTATCAGAAACGTCTTGTTGATTTGGTTCATGCTGTTTGGTCTTCCGTATGTTGCTTATGTTATTTTTGTTTCTTGCGCTTGACAGTGATTGTTTTCCTCTTGTTCCCTACAGTTTCTGCCAGGTCTCTGACGATTTCAGTCTCTTTCTGCCGTGGATCCTGGCCGATTACGAAGAGGACTTGCATCTTGGTTTTCACGGTTGGAAATGTTTGTGTCTCGTTTCGTCAGTTTTTTCTCGGCTCTCCTTCTTGATGTAACATTTTTTCCTTTTCTGCATTCATCCCTATCTTTGAAACTTCCGCCACCGCCTTGCGCGGTAGATTTCAGCAAGCAAACTGTGGTCCCAATGCAATCTTTGCATCGCGCATTGGGATATTTTTATCCAGACCATTCCAGACCTGTATTTTGACCATCGATCCCATTGTATGTTGGTGCAGTAATCGTATTATAATTTTAATGTGAGTAAAACTATAAGATATTTTTAATGTAAAGAAATAGTAAACCATCACCATTTTTACCGTAAATGAGTGGTATAAACCATCAAAATATGCATGGTTTATTGCTTGACTGCTATGATTACCTGATAACAAAGGACGGTGCGTGTGATAGTGCACCTCTGATGCGGCCTATTGCCGAGGCTGCCATGAGTTCTTGCGAACGTGCTGCGCAGGGTACCCAAGCAGTGCAAAGGGTCGTTATATTGTATCTAGGAAACATTCGTTGGGTATCCAAACAACAGACGCGGGGGATGTCGCCCAGATAAACATTTATGCCCACTAATAAATACTAATTATATAGTGTATATATATATATATATTTTTTGATATTATATATGTATTTGCATGGCATATGCCAAGTGCGCTGTTAGAGTTGGGCTCAGTTTGCCTCAACTACCTCAACTTGCTAGCGGTTCTGACTTACTTCTCTCAAGTCCGAAGTTTATTTTTGCCTCGGCCTAGTTGAAAGACACCGTTTCAGTGTATCACTGACGTTTTCGTGCCCAGCTGGTAGCGAGATTTAGGGAGGTGTGGGATCACCATGGGTCACCGAGCACTTCCATGACTGTGGTCAAGCGGCTACAGCGTTAACTTTGTTTAATTGCTCCAAATTTGCATGCTTGATTTAAGGAGAAGGATAGAATCAATTGCCAATATCCAACACCTATTATGGTCCCATGTGGTTGCTAGAAAATCATAGAAAGACCGCATCTACTGTAAATCTGCTAGTTGTAATTTCACTGCTAGTTTCAAAGCCTCAAATCCAGCATCTGCACTGCATTTGATGTTAATTTTTCGAATGTTTGATGTTTTGTAATGCCCTAATCTGAGCCAGAAGGCTAAATGTCAACACCGGAATAAACCCTGGTTGATTATATAAATCGGGGGACTTGCCCCCAAATAGCGATGTCATTTGCTACCAAAATGGTACCCTTCCGTTCCCTCACAAAGATGACATTTGCACAGTGTTCAAAAAAATGTTGCTGATATCTGTTTGTTGATGATTCTTTTGGGGATTATTTACAACCTTGGTTTATATTTGGGATTATCATTGATCCACACTGTGGGACATCCTACAAAAACAACCAGCACAAAGGGACGACCTTTCGGGTTTTGAACATAGTCATTCCAAGGGTTTAAGTATGGAACATAATGGGGATACAATGGGATAGTATGGGATAATATATATATATATATGTATATTATATATATATATACTTGGATACATATATATGTATATATATATATAATAAAAATCTATTTGGGTTGATATTTATATATAAATATATGGATATATTAATTGTATATATATATATATACACATTTTTGTTTATATATATATATATATGTATATCTATAGAAATGCATATGGCGCATAACCAACCAAACAAATGATGACAAGCAGGCAATGGCAAGCAGCCTTGAGCACATTGGAGGTCTATGCGTCCAGCTCTGGGCTGGATGAAAGCAGCTGGGAGCCCATGGCTGTGGGGGGAACCGTTTTTTTCTTTAGTCTTTAGTAGTGACCCCCCAAAAAGATACAGGATCGGGCCCCCAAGATAGCTAAGTTGAGATATAAGTGGCATAACTATGGTTTTTGGATGCTTATGGTAGATATACATAGTTAATGTGGGTTATAAACCAACTTATAACTGGGGTGCGCCATCCTGTAGAATCGTTTAAATTTATCACTATAGTAATAGGATGGAAAACTGTTCTATCTGTTTGGGGTTGCTATCAAGTTTTAAGGTTGCAACAACTAGACCTGCAGAACATTTGACCGGAAAAGGTCAGCAGTTGGATGTGTTTGATACCTCGATGGCCATTTTTTGAGTTTTTGGGGTTGCAAAGTTAAATTTCCAGGGTGTGGGACGGGTAATGTAGACCATGCTGATCCATACTATAAATTCTGCGAATTTCAAGTTTGAAGGGAGAAGTGCATCTTTGCACCAACGGATTTTTGGGGTCCCCAAACATTGATCTGACTCTGACCTTGTCACGGACCGAATGTCTGGTGATTGTAACGGAGCCAAGCCAGATCAAGCCAGCCATAACACGGGCCGAACACGGGCCACAGGAGTATTAACCAGTGGGATGATCATGGAAGTACTGTCTTTGAAGTGTCCAGGGAAGAACCCCATTGCGCAATGGTTTCTTGCGGTTTCTGCTCTGGCTATGCGACCCTTACCAAACGTATGTGGTTTCTTCTGTTTGATAGACAATGTATGCAAGCTGCTAGTGTTGCTGGCGACATCAGCTTTCCAGGGATATGCCATCCCCAATACATACCAATCAGTTCACGAACCGTTTTTGGCAGCCGGAACACGTTCAAATGTAGATGTGTTCAAATATCATCATATTCAATTTAGAGGTTTCACAAGCACAGTGCAGGAATTGGGACAGAAAAGTAGAACGAAGTCCAATTCCCCAAACCTTCACAGCTCCATGATATGTGACCTGTTTTTTCTGGCCTTGCAGAGGTGTGCCAACTTTCAATGCGGCACGGAGGCCCAGAGGCAGGCAGGACCTTCGGGTTGAGACAGATTTCCTGCCCCTTTGGAGAAGAACAGATGATGGATATTGGATGATATTGGGATATGGGTTGTATTCAGCACCCCAAACCGGATGCACAGGTTGTGGATGATACATACACATGATTTTATATCATGGTACCTGACAGGATGATCAGCCCACTGTGGCAATGGATAAGCACAAATAACCGCAGCTGGGAATTGGTCGGAAAACCATCCAAAACAAATATGGCAAGTGATGTCAAACCAATCATAACAAATCTTAACACATCCAATTTCTCATTCGCAAAAAACACACAATAATTATATATATATATTCTATATTATATTTATATATATATATTGTTTTATATTATTATATGATATTGTTTTTCTATATTTTAACATCTTATATTATATTTATTAAATTAAATTATGTTATACTATACTTTAATTTGTTTTAGATTATTATTATTATCATTATTTATTTTATTATTTTATATCATATTATTATTGTATTATATGTTATTTTATTATAGTATATTTTATTATATTTAAAAACATATTTTATATTATTATTTTTATATTATATGATATTATATTATATTATAATATATTATAACATTTTATTTTATTATGTTATATTATGTTATATTCGAAGGAAGTTTAGAAGTCAAACTTCCGACAATATGGACAGATGAAAAGCAGAGCAGGGAAGAGGCAGAGAGAAGAGAAAGATCAGAAGAGAGAAGAGTAGAAGAGAAAGAGTAAGAAGAAGGAAGATGGAGATGCGCGAAAAGGTAGGAAAGTCGCGAAACACTGTGTTTTTCCTATGATTTGTGGCTCCGGAGGGTCGAAAAGTAGGCTCGCTAAAGCGGCGGGTGCGGAGCCAGCTGGCCAGATGAGAGATGAAAAATTGCACGCCGTTGTGGCGCGAAGCACATTTGCAAGTCAAAATGTACAAAACACACCAGCTTCGGAGCACTTTTACTAGTTGAGATGTCGAAAAATTGCACGCCGTTGTGGCGCGAAGCACATTTGCAAGTCAAAATGCACAAGACACACCAGCTCCGGACCACTTTTGGCAGTTGAGATGTCGAAAAAGTGCACGCCGTTGTGGCGCGAAGCACATTTCGAAGTCAAAATGTACAAAACACACCATTGTCGGACCACTTTTGGAAGTTAAGATGTCGAAAAAATGCACACCGTTGTGGCGCGAAGCACATTTCCAAGTCAAAATGTACAAAACACACCATGTACCGACCATTTTTGGAGGTTCAGATCTCGAAAAAGTGCACGCCGTTGTGGCGCGAAGCACATTTCCAAGTCAAAATGTACAAAACACACCATGTACGGTCCATTTTTGGAGGTTCAGATGTCGTTTCGCGTGGCAGGCGCAAGGGATTGTGGACCTTGTCAAAAGTGAGCAAAACGTGAGGGTTTTGTAGCATTTTCAACTACAACCACCACTACATTACACTACACTCCAATGCATTACACTACACTACAACTACAACTACAACTACACCTTCACTACATTCTACTACGCTACACTCCACTACACTACACAGCACTCAATTACACTCAATTACACTCAATTACACTACACTGCACTACACTATATTACACTACACTACACTCCACTACACTACATTACACTACGTTACACTACACTACACTACACTACATTACACTACACTACACTACCTTCCACTACACTACATTACACTACACTACACTCCACTACACTACACTTCACTACATTACACTACACTACACTCCACTACATTACAACTACACTACACTACATTCCACTACACTCCACTACGCTACACTCAATTACACTACACTACACTACATTCCACTACCTTCCACTACACTACACAACACTACACCGCACTACACTACACTACATTCCGCTACACCACACTACACTACACTACACTACCTTCCACTACCTTCCGCTACCTTCCACTACACTACACTACCTTCCACTACCTTCCGCTACCTTCCACTCCACTCCACTCCACTCCACTCCACTCCACTCCACTCCACTCCACTACACTACACTACACTACACTACACTGAATGACACTGCACCACAGATAGACAGGTAGACAGATAGACAGATAGATAGATAGACAGATAGACTGGTAGACAGATAGACAGATAGATAGATAGATGGATAGACAGATAGACAGATAGACAGGTAGATAGACAGACAGACAGATAGACAGATAGATAGATAGCTAGATAGATAGATAGCTAGATAGATAGATAGATAAATAGATAGACAGATAGGTAGTCAGAGAAAGAGAGAGAACGAGTGAGAGAGATCAATCACCTTTCGATCCATCAGTGGCTTCGCTCTGCCATCCCTGATTCACCACAACCAACCTCTCCTATAGGTTTCCTATTTTTGAAACTTCCTCCGCCGCCTTGTGCTGTACTACTGGTATATTTTATTACATTTTTGGTTTATTGTTTTATATAATAAGATATTTTATTTTATTATATTACATTACACTGCATTATATTGTATTGTACTATGTATTAATTTATTATATATATATATATACATGTTTTCCAATAACCATTGTTTTGGTCATGAGATGCCCAATCGTTGCGCCTAGGCCATCAGCGCCTGTGAAAAGGCTGGCCGATGGGAGGCGCGGAATGTGGCTATGGGTGGCTGGTCTGAATATGGTAACACCAACAGTACTACAGTAAGACGCTATGACATACTGTGGGTGGAAGAAATCCTGCACCACCTTGGATGGTTGAAACACTTTAAATAATGGGATAAACCAGCTATCAGTATTATGGCTTTGTATACAGTCACACAGTCTATTATACTACCAAAAAAACGTATCTTTAGTGGTGGGTGGTGAGATGTTTTTTCTCTGAAGGTCACGCATCTCAAAAGTTGGATCCAAGGGGCTTTGGCAGTTGATTGTTTCTGTTGCGAACCAATTTCCGCAGTGTTCAAATGTCCATATAACCTATATACCCGCAGTGTTCAAATATCCCTCTGATAATTTAACGTATACGTATATATATATATATTTATATTTATATATATATAGCTGTGGACCATCATTTATTTCAGTAGGTACAGTAAATCATCATTTTTTTCTATAAATGGACCATTTTCCATAGTTATAACCAACCAGAGTGTAGAATTAGAAACGGGAGGAGTGTCGCTTAAGTTACGCTGCTACGCGAGGCTTCTCTGGCGGTGCTGCAAAATCTCGCAACGTTACAGCTTCGGCGTACTGCGGTGTGCGAAACTCAGTGGACTAGTTGCCTAGTGAATCTGCTTAGTATGTTCAAGAAACTCAGGATTTAGTTCAACGGATTTTGCTCATGTTCTGGGTAAATCATATGTAATTCTTGGATATGTTCAGGTTCTGAAAATATGAAAAATCATATAAGATGACTATTGTACATATAACATCATGTATATGATACGAGTACTATTGAACATTGGTTTGGTAGCTTATTTAATACTGCAAAAATTCAACCGTACTGCGCTGGGTTGAACCATAGCACTTCGATTATATATTTGAGTTTGGCCATCGATTGCAACCCAACCTTTTGAACACCAAAGACTATATATAGTTGAAATGCATGGATATGCAACAAAGACATACAAAGACAGGGTTGACATTCAAACTTAGATCACCGAAATAGATCTAACATGGCAATCAAGGGGTTGTAGAACCAATGAAACCACCAATATAGTGAACAATGGCTGGACTTCGGGCGTCTAGGTTGGATCCGGGCACGTTGTAGAATATCATAGTGCCTGCTTTTTCATTTTTATGTGATGGTCAAACGATGGATTCGATTAGATTAATCCATCGATTGGGCGGTGGTCAATGTTGTTTAGATTCCAATTCTGGGATGGATATGGATGGACGACCAGGGGCCCCATCTGCATGGCAAGAAGCTCCCCTGGTGCTAGCAGGTCCTACAACGCAGCAATCAGCGCCTGTGAGAGGCGGGCAAACATCATGCTGTGGAACTTGAGGCGTTCTTAGCTCTGATTGAAATACTGAAAACATGTGTGAGATGTGGGAGATACTTCTGGAAATATATGAGATTCTGGAAAAATGAATGAGATAACATATGGATATATCGTGACATAGCACTTTGACAACTTTTGAAGTGGGGTACGCGGTACCTTCCGTGGGTACTCTGTTTAACATGGTGTAACATTGTTTGACCCACTTCACCTATGTTGGCGCTGTACTGCTTACCAGTGGCAGTCTCTTGTGCAGAGTGGCCTGACAGTTAGTGGGTACCAGTATTGTAGATGGTAGATTGTAGACAAGTATATATATATATCGTTTTATATATACATCATTAAACATATATCATTATATATATATGTATATGTAGAATAGTTTGCTATAGTTTGCTTAAACTCTTGAAATCTATAGTAGTGCAATTATAATTATAGTTATTAAGCCCATCCATGTATATTCTGTTGTACTGCATCGCATATCTTTATAGCTAGTTATATTTAGTAGTTATTGTATCCTACATATCCTAGTTTTGACATCTCCCATATATGAAAAGTTATGGTATCCCATATATCATATACTTATTATTAAATCCCATATATGGTTAAAAAAACTATTCATAGATATCTTATCCATGAAAAAAATGTAATGGTATCCATTTATCCCATGAATACCATATAAAATCCCATATATTTGTTGATATCTCCCAAGCATCTGCTTAGCGGCGTGAGGGAAGCTCAGTGGCCTATCGCTTTTCAGCTCCTCGCAGAGAAGCGAAGTGCCTCGATGCAGGCGGCAGCAGAATGTGGGGATGGTTGGAATCCAAGAAATATGGTGACTTGAGAATGGTTTGTTATTGAGTTTACTACATGATTTTGAACTAAAATAGAGATTGTTTATTGTTTGGGACAATTTTTTAGAGCATTTCAGACTATTGAATAGACCCTGATCGGAATGTCAGTGAGTTTTAGTAGGGAGGATGTGGCTCTGAGCCATGTTTGTTCTTTTTATTTGATTTGTTCAGTCCATGTTAATCCGGAATTGCTGGTGAATGTTAGCAAATATATACAAATCTATCAATCTGTCATCTTATTTCGAGGTACCCCATTTGGAACCACATTGATTTGGCAAACTTGGCCCGGAGGTCGTGAAGGATTAAACTTGGCCCTGAGCGATAGAAGTCTGTGGAGTACTTGTTTCACTTTGGTACGGACCTATTGCCATCATCATCATCATCATCACCATCATCATCATCACCATCATCATCATCATCATCATTATCACCATAATAATAATAGTCATGATCATCACCATAGCAATTGAAAAACCACATCAAAAAAAAAATACAAATCCTTTTTCTGTGATCTGCAGCAAACCACAGACTGTTTGGGAGAGTCCTTTCGGCCAGAACAAACAGGTACATCCTTCCTCCTTGATCATTCATCAATCAAATCTCCAAGCATCCTTGATTCCTCTGACAAGTTTCCACAAAAAAAGTCACAATGTGATAGATGTTTTCACGTTCCATTCACCATGGACGTTTGTTGTTTGACTCTTCATTGTTGAATATATGTTCTTGGTGGTATTGTTGTGCATATACATGTAGTTGGGAGCATGTGTACAATTATAGTCAATATTCTCTCTCCCCACCCGTCAATTCGCATGGACAGTGTTTCAAAAATCTCACCAGATTTTTGTTATAGATTTAGATGTTATAGTCATATGGTCTGGTTTCAACTACAACTAGTTTAAACTCTTCGTATGGGTGCGTATGGCCATTTCATCCATTTAAACTCATGCCATACCCATTTCTAGTCTCTATACGTTCCCCATGAACATTTCTTTTACGTAGATGTATATATATATAATATATATATGTATATATTCAGTTGTACTTCATGATGTAGTTGCATATATAGATATATTTCTTATATGTTTACACTCTGGTTATTTAACATAGCCATGGACAATGGCCCATTTATAGATGATTTTTGCAGCTATAAACCTCCATTTATAAGGGATTTTCCATGGCTATGTTAAATAACCAGATGGTACTTGACGTTTCCTTGACTATTTATGTGCCAATTTTCCTCTCACATTCTAAATTTTCTTAGACGGACCCCAACAGCCACAACGTCAGGTGGATCGTGCCAGCCTGGGCGCTGTCATCAGTGCCGTTGCCCAGGCGGCGGGCATGGGCCATCACGACAGATGAGGTGATTTTATGGTGGTTAATGGTGTTAAAAAACGTGAATTAATGATAATTAATGGTGGTTAATGGTGGTTATTGACGGCTAAAAACGTGAATGACAAAATGAATTAATGGTGATTAGCCTCTCGTAAACGTTTAACAGTTTGCTATTGAACATGGCCATTGAAATAGTGGATTTACCCATCAATAGCATGGTGATTTTCCATAGTTATGTAAGCGTTTACCAGAGGGTATCCCAATGGGAACATGAACTTTGGTGGATCCATCAAAAAAGGTAATCACGACATATCACAATATATCACTGGTTGGTGGTTTGGAACATGATTTTTATTTTTCCATATGGAATTTAATAATCCCAACGAACTCATATTTTTCAGAGGGGTAGGTATACCACCAACCAGATCACACTATAATAGTAAATGATACGTAGTAAATGTAAGAATCCTGATGTTAAATCATAGTGTCTTTTGTTAAGAACCCATTACAACATCACAATCAAAAGGTATATTCTAATGTATATTCATGTAATTTCGAGTCATTCACCATGGATATTTTTCGGAATTTTCGATTTTTATATAATGTCAATGGTTATCATAGATCCCCCCATGTCCTAGAGGATTTAACGGGACAGTCCCCGAAAAATCCATGGAGCAAATCGCCGAACTAAATGGGGATTCTCCAGCAAACCATGTTTGATTGAAGGAATCCCATATATTTCAGTGAACAAACTAAGTCCAGTTATTTTTCAGGCGCACTCTACCTGGGATGATCCTCCAAGTATCGTAAAGTTCTTCGCAATGTCTGGTGAACTATGGGAGATGGATAAATAACACATTTACTGAGTGGTTTGGAACATGAAACATGTTTTTCCATATATTGGGAATAATCATCCCAACTGACGAACTCATATTTTTCAGAGGGGTAGGTATACCACCAACCATATATATATATAACATTATATAACTAGTATTAACTATAGGAGATTATATTAACTAGTTAATATAATCTATAGTGGATTAAAAACACAAAAATCAATACCCACTATGTTAACTAGTGCGAAGAACTTTACACAATTACATCACCATAGAGGATATTGACTAATATGTTTAAAGGAGGGACCATACCCTTAAAATGGTCGTGACATTGTGAAACCATCATTCTCAAATCACCATTTTTGAGAGGTGGTATGTTTACCGTTCCAAGTCATGGGTGGTTTATTATTGTTGTTTCCCACATTATTGTGAAATTATGGTGAACTATGGATGCTTTGTTTCCCCAAGGCTATCACCTCCAGAACACACCTGACTAGCTTGGGCCAAGTTGGACGCATTCAATGGAGGATGTTCTGAAAACGCTCTTCTTAATGGTTGACCATCCTTAATGAATGGTTAACGAATGATTAATAGTATGGTTAGTTAATCATGGTTAAACATCGTTCTTAGTAAGTTTTTAAGATTATAAGATTAGTAGTCCGGTTAATAATCGTTACTTTTTATTATGGATTTATGGTTAGTCGAATGTTTAATGGTTGATACTGACGAGAAACGGATGAGAGTGACTTAATAGTTCTGGATTGGATCATTCTCCTATTCCCTACGTTTAGCATCAGGAAGTCTTAAGCACAACTTCTTACACTGTTTTGATGGATTGTCAAATTGTTTTCTACATAATTTAAAAGGTAAAGCAAGAAAACGATTGACCTGGATAGCGTCATTTGTCGATTTGTCGGACATGTGGGACATATACCACTTCGTCATTAGGATTCAGATGATTTAGACGCTCGGATCCTAGTGGCTCTTCAGAGCCACATCTTCCACATCCCGTTTTAGGATGATCGATTTGATGATCGAAAAAAATCGGAAATGGATTGAGACCCAGAATAAAATAAACATGGGTTGGTGGTTTGGAACATGGCTTTTATTTTCCATTTCATATATGGGATGTCATCCTTCCCATTGACATGTTTTTCATTGTTTTTCATGTTTAAAAAACTATGTCATTTTAAACATGTCGACATATGTCGACTTAAGAATAAAAACGTTCCGAGACACGTAAGAAATTTTAGAAGCCAGGCCTCATGGGAGATCTGTTTGGCCTTGGCTCCTCGGCATAGTGAGTTTCTGGAGGCCCCCCAAAATGGATATACATACATATACATATACATATACATATACATATACACATACACATACATATACATATACATATACATATACATATGCATATGCATATACATATACATATACATATACATACATATATATATATACACATACATACATAATATATTTGTATTTGTATACATATATAAATGTATGTATGTTAGTGCTGAAATTGTATCCCTAGTGAAGCCCGCTGTTTCATTGATTCTCCTGCCATTACTGGCAGGCATTTGCGTCGAACTTTGAGGCTATCGAAATCAATGATGTTGGGTACCTGACCCATTGGGGCTGAAAAGCTATGGTTGGACTTCCAGGATACCCCCTTGGGGATCCCAGATTCCATGTGCTCCATGTAACAACTACATATAAAATGCAGTGTTTGGTAGCTCTGGGCATGCATGCAAATATAAATCCATATAAAATGGGGGTACCCCAAAACCATAGATTTCAATACTCAAATGACTCAAATGGTCTAATTTTAGATGATTTGAGGGTACACCCATTTTAGGCAACCTCCATACCATACTTTGAGTCGTTTTGTGTTGTAGTTTGGTTAACAGGAGTCTTACCACCACTTCGCCGACTTCGCCCAGTAGCCATGCCTCAAACTGTCAAAGTGGCTGGAGGATCTTACACGTAGACATCCCTGCGTTTCCAACAGCTGCAAAATCTACAGATATCTACAGTCTCCGCCACTTTGACATGGTTTGTTCCCACACTCTTTCCAAAGATTGCGTGGATAATATCTGGTGGAACAATTTATAGTTTATACACAACTTAGTGTTTTGGTAATTTGATATGTTCGAAGCTTAAATCTTGCTGTTTTGAAATCCTTTTTATAGCATGATAATCCATCTTTGCACCGCAGCTTGCAATCGCTGAGGTTGTGAATCCTGAAGTAGTTGGAAGAAGGTGCCAGTCGGCCAAACCATGGGGCTTTCCATAGTCATGGGGGGTAACCCCAAAATCCGATGGTTTCTCTATGGGAAATTCCATCTCCAAATGGATGATTTATATAGGGGTACCCCCATTTATGGAAAGCCCCAGATGTAGGATTTCATGTCAGATTGAGTTGGTTTCTATTTTTGTTGCATGAATGGTCAACTATTCATTACCTCAATCCATGACACCTGGACATGTCGAAGGCCTCGAGATATTGATGCCAGCAGTTTGTCCGTCAGTAGCTAAGTGGCTTTGCATTTTGCATTGCTTGGTGAAACGGAAATCCCCTGAATATTCAGAAACATTGGGACGCAGATGCAAACGCAGACACAAGCGTCAGAGTTTGATACCATTTGATACCTATGTTGTTGTGCTGGGAAACGTGATTCTGTTCTGCAAAAGATATCTGTGTGTTTCAAGTCTTTGGAAGCCTCCGTTGTGATACTGAGACTAACTAGAGCATTTCTAACACAAAACCTGCTGATGATGATGTTTGCTGCGAAGATCACGTTAAAACAGAGTCAGTGATAGGTTGAAACAGCAGCCAGGTAAACTTAAACTTATACAATCCTATTATACAAATGATTTGTGGTTTCAATATTGTTGCATCTACACAGATCGATCCCAGTTGATGGATCCCGGTGTTTGTTGCTTACGGTTTGCCCCATGACATCCATGACATCCATGACATCCACAGTCCTACAGTCCTACAGCTTCAAAAGAGCATTAAAATAAATGCTCTAGGAAATATATGCGCGTCATATTACATTTGCTTTGCTGGATTCTGCTGGATTGTTTATCCTCTGGTAATTTAACATAGCTATTGAAAATGGCCATTTATAGTTGATTTTCCCATTAAAAGTGGTGATTTTCCATAGTTATGTTAAATTACCAGAGGGTACTTCGGTTTCTAGGATGATCCAATTCAACGAATATCTTTGAGATTGCAACCATCAACCAGTTCCCGTTCCCAGCATGGCTCTCACCGACAAACGCCCAAGGCTGCGATTATGGCCTGCCAACGCGCCAACAGGCAGGTTGCTCAAGCACGGATCTGGTATTGCTTTGTCATTTTGATGAGGATGCAAGAAAACAACCAACAACGTGGTTTTCTTTGTAGGATATCTATGCTGGTTGGTGGTTTGGAACATTTTTTATTTTCCATAATGTATGGGATAATCATGGATAATCCTTCCCATTGACTTTCATATTTTTCAAGATGGTTAAAACCAGCAACCAGTATGGATCTCCAAGGTTGGCTATGATGAGTTGAGGTTTACCTTGCTTGAACTGGGAGGGGGACAGGTGCTCAAGATTGTGTACCTGGATGAGCGGCTGAGCGGCTGGATGATGATGTGAAAATATACTTTTACCATCTTTTACCCAGGGGTGCCAGATAGTTGTAGCTAAAAAACAAATTAAAAAGGTCATAGGTCATCCAAAATGGGGGTCGTTCCCAAAATGCCAAGCTTTCGGGATAAAAAAACGCAGTAAACTGTTTGCTTCACCAAGTTGGTCCTTGCACCTCGTCTTTAGATGATCAGTAGACCAACGTTAGTGAAACTTCCATGTTCAAGAGGTAAATAGTGTAATTTCTCCAGCCATGTTCTGGGCGATGGGTGTATTCCAGACTTGATACCTCCAGCGCAGGTGGTCTGTTGCCCTTTGTCTCCATGCCGCAGAGGCGTAGTGAAAAGACTGCCGGGGCGCAATGGGTTTCACCAAAAATGGGGGGGTACAACCAAACCCAATGGTGTGCCCTTATGGCAAAATTCAGCTTCATCTATATCAATGTGATGTTTATCATAATGATTAATTAATTCTTAATTATTTATATAAGTGGATATACCCTCTATAAATCTCTATAGTAATTTAACATTGCGGCCCCGATCAGTGACTGCACGCACCGGGTACACCGAATGACCCAGCGCACTCAGCGCACTCAGCGCACTCCACTGTCAACATAACATAGCTGTGGAAAATCACCATGTTCAATAGGTAAATCATCCATAAATGGACTGTTGTCCATGGCAATGTCGTAGATATTTCCACAGTGTGATATATATATATATATATGTGTGATATATAAATATATATTATAAATATACAGACGTCCAGCATGGACCCCATTGCCACACAAGCTAGGCCATGGGCGAATCCCCGCTAGAAAGACATTTACAGATCTGAAAATGGCGACACATGTGCCACGGTCACAAGGTGGATTGTATCGTATGCCCTTGTTGGATCTTATTTCGGGATGGTCATACCAGCAGTATCCGGGAATAATAGCAGCCAATATCAGCCAATTTTTGAGGATTCCCAAGAATGGCGAGATGATCACAACCCATACACCAGGTGTTGACTATGGCACTTTTTTGGGGGGTCTTTAGGCAAATATTTCAATGTTGAAAGCAGGGTAAGATGGTTTTGATCCATGCCAATGTACATGTTCCCAAAAGTGTTCGATCATGAAACTGCTGCAAATGGTTGCGACCCAAAGGATCCAAACCATGGGGGTTTCCATAAATGGGTGATCCCCAATGGCTGGATGGTTTATATAATTCAACATAATGTTACAATGGATGATTTAGGACTACCCACCCCATTTGAGGAAACGGCCATATGTCAACTTCAGGATATGTTTCCGCCAAACAGCAGCATGTCGTCCGTGCAATGTCTAGCCCTTCCTGCAGTTGATTCTCTTACATGGGCTATACATACTTACATTATGCACATTTGCATTATTTTTCGCTTGATGAACAACTTTGGAAAGAATTTCAAATCACCATCAACCGACTAAAGGGAAGCTGCTTTCAACAAGATAGACAATTCATCATTCCGGGCCATTTTGATGATAGTTTGCTATGTTGTTTGCTGTTTCCTTGTCTATCTTTCTTGGAACCCCGGTGTATCCGAAAATTGGCGCAATGCTCACATTTGCCAGGGACTTCTCAGCTCTACTGTACTGCAACCAGTGTGTTTCCCAGTGGTGGGGCGCGGCACGGGGCAAGGTGGTCTGGGCCAACGATCTCAAGATATCGCAAGATGACCTTTGCTGACGTCAGCTTAGACGAGTTGACGTCTCAAGCAGTACGCCCCAGAAGTCATGGTTATTGAGAATCTGGCGAACAAATATGGCATAAATTGGCATAATATGATTATGTAATACGACATCATATGACATATATGACATAATGTGGCATGATATGGCAATATACAATAATATATGGAGGTGTCCTGAAATAGGGGTGCCCCGAAATCATCCAAATTTTAGTAGGATTTTCCATCATAAATCATCCATTTAGGGTACTCCTACCTGGAGCACCCTAAAGAGAATAATTATTCTTTGGCAGCATAATTATTAATAAAGTGTGTTTTTGAGAATAATTATTCTCCTATACGATAAAACCCGTTCAAGCATTGGAGCACCTCTTTGGGTTACTATTTTGAAGCCCCCAAAACAGCAACTATTTCTTCTGATTTTGAGCTTCTATGCAGCTAAACCTTATGGCACTGTTCAGAACCGTTCAGGGCCACTAAAGACCGCAATGTGTACGTTGTTTCCCATTCAAGACCGTTCTCCGAAATCCAAACCGTTCGGATTACGTTCAAAGTACGTTCAAATTACGTTCAAATTACGTTCGATTACGTTCAAGTTGCGCAAAAATTACGTAAATATTACGTAAAAAATAGGGTTCCAAAACAGCACTTTTTATGCAGCTATTTCTGGTGATTTCATACAAATAAAAAGGGTTTTATGAACCATATATGCAAAAGGCACCAGATACGTTAAAAACCGTTCGAGGTCGATAAAAACCGTTCTGGTAGAATAAAAAGTCAAAAAAAGACAAAAGATTAATAAAAGTCTTTTTGTTGAATAATTATTCTCTTTAGGGTGCTCCAGGTATGGGAAACCTCCACATGTGAGATTTGCCACAGATTCCTGGTTTGCCACACATTCCTAGGCCGCGGGGCTCTTTGTAGCCTTGGCGTGCGAAGAAGCTGGTCGCTCGGGGTCGAATGCCCAAGGATTCCTTGGATTTTGGGGATGGTGGATCCTATTGCTGGTAATGTGGGTAATGCAGTGTCATATAAACCACCCATATAAATTGATAGTTGGAATCCCACCCATAAAAATGGAAAGTATATTTGGGGATGGTGGATCCTATTGCTTTACTAACATCAATTATTTGCCAACGTTTGGTTGCGTGTTTTTGTTGCAAGGATATTGTAAGTATGCCAGGGACGGATGACGCAGGATAGAGGGATATTGATATAGGTAGGCTGTGTACCCACGGATTTCTCTTGTTGATGCCAAACAGTTTGCAGTTTGTCAAGATACAGTACTTCCTATTCAAAAATTCAACTACCCTCCGGTAATCAAACATGGCAACGGAAAATTCACCATTTCAAGAGATTTTCTCATATTAGAACCTTCATTTATAGTGGATTTCCATGGATTTTCCCAGCCACGTTTGAGTACCGAGATCCCAATCAGTGTCAACAGCTGAGGTCCAACTTCCGTGGTACGGTTTGGCGCAGCTTTGCTCATCAACCCATCGCAGCCATTGATGCGGTCATGGTGTGGCCACCCGTCCGGTTGGGATCTGGATCATTTGTCCAAGTTTGGAGGTTGCAAAGATATGAAAGATCTACTGTATTGCTGAGAAATGAATAGAAATGGCATTTTCTATGTTGTTGAGTTGTTGATCAACTATATATATATATATAATTATACATGTTTATCAGGATGATACCAGCAGATTTAAGATCACACATACATATATATATATATATGTAATGTATGTAATGTAATGTAATGTAATGTAATGTAATGTAATGTAATGTAATGTAATGTATGTATGTATGTACGTATGTATGTACTGTATGTAATGTAATGTAATGTAATGTAATGTAATGTAATGTAATGTAATGTAATGTATGTATGTATGTATGTTATGTATGTAATGTATGTAATGTATGTAATGTATGTAATGTATGTAATGTATGTATGTATGTAATGTAATGTAATGTAATGTAATGTAATGCAATGCAATGTAATGTAATGTAATGTAATGTATGTATGTATGTATGCATGCATGCATGCATGCATGCATGGATGTATGTATGTATGTATGTCTGTGTGTGTGTGTCTGTATGTATGTATGTATGTATGTATTAATGTAATGTAATGTAATGTAATGTAATGGAATGGAATGGAATGGAATGGAATGTAATGTAATGTATGTATGTATGTATGTATGTATGTAAATATATATATATATATTTACATACACACATTATACACACATTATACACACATTATACACACATTATACACACATGATACACACATTATACACACATTATACACATGAAATCCACCATCATTTAGATATCTGACATATTATACACTCTATTAAGGTTCTCTATCATCTATCTCTAATAAGCATCTGACATATGATTATGGGTCAAAACCTATTAAATTGCCATATGCATGGGGGAATCGGCCTTTTTTAGCCAGATATTTTAGGGTACCATCCGGGTGCCAGGGTTTCGGCAGGCCATGGAAGCTTCCCTGCCGCAGAATGTTCGCAATCTTCGCGACGGCGAGAGGGAGAGTGCGGATGTTTTTTTTGGTGAGATTTATAGCATTTTATATAGCAACCCCCATTGCAACCCCCAGAAAGATAGAAAAGTGAAATCTTGCAGACATGTATAGTTTATCCATTTGTTTTGGGGAAAATTGCTGGCAATTGGATAGTTTTTTGAAAACGGGGTAAGATTTGGCCATGATTTGGATTATTCAATTTTCCACCAATAATTGTATGTGATTGTAAGCGTAACACATTTCAAGCATTGATTTTAGGGGACACATGTAGAAAACCTTGGTCTTCGACGGGTTCCTGATCAATGGCTGTTCGTCATCCTTTATCAGCCCAATGAAACATAAACATAGATATTGGTAGGACAGTGGGATTCTAGCAAAGATGCAAAGGAGACATTATTTTGGAGTGTGATCAGTATGATCAAACCCAAATTGCTGGTCAGAGTCAATGATGGAATTTGCATAAAGTTCAGGATGTTTGCCGATATTGTGCCAGAACTAAGGTGCTAATCCTGTAGGCGTTAATTTCATGGACACTTTGACCGGTGGCTATGGCTCAACTTACATTCATACCTGTGGTGATACCGTATCCCCCTTCAGTTGGAACTTTCATAGAATTGGATGATGGGAAAATTTACAGGAAAGACCTATATTTGATGGTAAAAACCATGGTTTCCTGTAGATTTTCCCTTAAACCAATCCATTGAAATTTTAATCCGGGGTGATCAGGTTATATCAGGTGTGTGGTTTCTTTGTTTGTTTTCCCAGCGGAATGATGTTCTGCTCTATGATGTTTGGCCCTTTTCAGACATCGACTTTCACGTAAAAAAATCCATGGGCTCAACAAAACCATCAACAAGTTGTAGCATTCTGGGATGGCTTCAAATCCAAACAGAAGTCTTTCCATTGATCCCAAAATTCATGTTGGATCCATCAGTTTCCCAGATGTTTGATGATTAGATCCCGATGGAAATTGTCGATTTGGGCACGATTTGCTTTGCTGATACTGTATTCCCGACAAAAACTTATAGAAGTTGAGTCTATGACATATGTGTTTTCCAACTGTTTTTTTACGGATTCGTAATTCTGTAAAAAGCGAATGACCCTCATAGTTAAACTAACAATAACTAACAATAACTAATATAGATGTAGAGTATACACAGTTTTTCTAGACCATTTTCCAAACAGGAAACCATTGAAACCATTGAAACCATATTGAAACTATGGGGGTTTTCCACAGATCTAAACCATGTTTTTCAACATGGCAGCGGGGTTTCAGGTCACTTCTGGCAGAAGGTCTTCCGGGTTTCGATCCTTCAGCTCAGAGGCGATGTCCCCCAGCTGGATTTCCATGGGAAAATCCCAGCTAGAAATGGATGATAACTAGGGGTACCCAAAAATGACTTGGGGAATTCGAATGTCACTTTAAAGATTCATTTGTTTTTTTTTTTGAATCATTGTGTTCACACATGTCAATGTTTCTTGAAATATCTTGAAATAAAACGGTCATTTCTACAGGAAGCCTTTCATATCTGGAGGTGTGGAGTTGGAGCATGGAGTGGAGGCCAGGGACCATGCTGGTGGAGCAGAGGTAGCAGATTTCATCAGGGGCACCTGCATCAAATCCACCAAAAATCATAGAAAAACAATGAAAAACAATGGAAAAACACAGAAATAAATGGTGTTGGCGACCAAATATCAGGCACAAATGGAACTAAGACTAGCTGATGATTTTTTGGATCTGAAACCATGGAAGATTTTGAGGCGACCGTTTTGAGCCATGGTGATCACGGTATGGGAAAGACAGAAAACAGTTGAAGGATAATTGAATGGCAAATGTAAACTAAAGACAAATCATTTTAAAGACTAATATAGAATATAGTGAAATACATACATATACATAACATAAATTAACATAATACAATATGATATAATAAAATATAATATTATATAATTATATAACGACGGAACAAATCTTGCTCACGATGCAACAAAGGGATGTCCTCAACCAGGACGGGTATTGCTGCAGTCTGGAATTTTAGGTGCTGGACACCTCCAGGATCCGGACATGTTTGTACAGTCCGATTTCCACAGTTTCGAACAACCAACCAACTTGTAGAAAAGGTGGATTTCAATAGGTATGGTTCGGCCATATGGCTATGGATTAATACCTATTAATACCATTTTTAGGGGAATGAACATCCATTTACCAGCTATTTTGATGTTCACCAGGGGTACAAGGTTTCGACACACTGCCATATCTTTAAATATTCGATCTATGCCTTTTTTGCGGAGCGTAAAGATGTCGAGATATTGCAAATGTGACGAAGGATCATTCAGAAATTGCTATCTACGTAGTGTTGTTGCAAGAACTGCCATTGCCATTGATACGCATCGACGTGTTTAAGGGTTGATCTATTTCAAAGATAAACTACTATATATATACATATACACAATATACATATATATATATATGTACAATATATATATATATATACACAATATATATATATACAATATATATATACAATATATATATATACAATATAAATAAATATATATATATATATACACAATATATATACACAATATATATATATATATTAAATGTATTATAATACATAAATAAGTTAATAAATAGATAGGGTAAACAATTCTTGCCTCGTTGGTCTTGAATCCTTGTTGCATCTCCACTGGCATGGCCGGCCGTGTTTCTTTGAACGCTCTGAGGCTGTGAACTTAGGAGTGGGGAGGCCAAGTGGCACCTAACTTACCCTTGGATGCAGAGGATATATAATTACAATAGCTAAATATATACATAATCATATCATGTACAGATCATTTCCATTCTCGAATTGAAAAGCGAAGATGTGCTGAGTCGGTTTCCGTACAAAGTTTCCAATCTCGGATCCCTTGGACCCGAATGAACTGGAGGTCTGTGGGACACGAGAGGCTTTAGCAATACTTGGCTCAGCGAGAAAATCTGCGGCGATGGGAAGATTACGTAAAACCCGACTCACTGAGCAGTGTAAAGAAGAAACAATGGGTTGATGATTTAACTGGTGTTTCAGATTATTTAAGTACTTAATCATCTTTTAGCTCATCTATCAGGGCTTTAATTCCCATGGTCAAATCTAGTTGAGCCATTGTCAAATTGTGAGGATATGGCCAGATGTCAAATCTGTTTCCTGGTAGGGTCATGTCAGTCATACCCAGGTGAGCCTTATCTTGTTACCTCCAAAGTAGCAAGTAGAATCATGAGCATGACCGCCGATCTGAAAAGCAAGGATTTGTTAGGAAAGCTTATTGAGTGTGTTCAATTAAGAATGACAAAGGCACCAAGACAAGAACTACGCGTGGGATCACAATAGGAATTGCATATCCCTTTCAATAAGCTAACCTGGCAATATCATAGTAGATCCGTTCAAGCTGATGTTCCTAGCGGAGAGGTTCCCACTGATTGTCCGTTTGCTTCCCGGGTAGATTTGGCAAGGTCATCAGTGCGATCAGCCAGCTGAAAGCTAGAGGATCAGAAGGAACCATTTACACAAATAAGTCTTTAAAGATCTTAGTTTCCATTGCCAAATTAATTGTAATGATGCTCCTGCATGCTCCTCTTATGTATAGGCTGTATAGGACATGATCATTTTGGTTCCTATGTCAGTATTTCAGGGACGGTTGCATCTTGATGCTCTCTTCAGACATGCCAAACTTGACGTAGATGCTGGGTGTACCTTTGCCGTCTTGGTCAATTTCCAGGCAACAATGTCGTGTCATGAAGAAAATCAAGGGCTGTCATGGCTTATGGACACCTCGGTAGCTCAAGATGGACTAAGACCTAAGAAAACTGTACAGTCACTTCGGTTCCAACATTGCAGCGCAGATTGTGCCAGTTGTTGTAGCCGAAAGTTTCGTCTTATTCCAACATATTCCAACACATCTCAACGACCGGCGCGCGCCGGCCATGCCTTCTGAGGTGCTCGTTTTTTCCAGGGTCGAAGTGATAATTGGGATGCTATCGACAAATGTCATAATTCCTGAGTTTCTGAAAATGTCTGTTGATGCTTATAGTTGATGTTTGGGATGATAGGTGGACTATATATATATATACAGGTTAGTTGGTGTTCATTTGTTCTATTGGCCTATTCTGAACCATTCCATGAAACAAAACTACGCATTGAGCCGGTGTGTATCAAGAGATGAGACCCTGGGGCTTACGGATGAATGTGTCTTTTGTAGATCTTTATTCCAAATTCGAATGTTCGGAACCCAAGTTTACCAGTTTACCACACTCCACTCCATTGATAGGTGATTTAAAAAAAGAACAGTAGCTGAATCCGACAACCCATTGCGAATATCAAACCGACCTTTCATGAGTACTTCCTGATTTTGAACCGTACCCATGTTTGGTTTCTGATCTCACACGTTTTACATTTTGGTAATTGATATGTCTCCGTCTTTGTTTGGCATGTTTACCAGCACTTGATCAATCGGACTAGTTCAATCACAAGAGTATAAATTGTTACCATCACAGAACATATATATATATGTACTGTATACATAAGTTTGATTATACAATATGTTTCTATCATTTGTACATTCATAACTGTGTTATACCACTAGTACTACATATCCTACATATATTGTATATAATCATGATATAAATCATCCTATGTACCCCTCGCCATGATGTACCAGAGCCGAAGCCGGGCCAGGAGAAAAGCAGCAAGGAACGACTGCGGCAACGCTTAGTGCAGGCTACCCATCAGACAACCAGAGTTTGTGTGTCACAGTGTGTATTACCCTCTGGTAAACTAACGTAGCTATATGGAAAATCACCATTTTCAATGGGTAAATCCACTATAAATGGCCATGTTCAATAGCTATGTTAGTTTACCAGAGGGTATATCCATGTCAATAATGACTAATTAATGATTTAATATTTATTAGTATAAGACTACATTTGCACATACATAGTGAGGTAGATACATAGATACAATAGGTAATTCCATAGATACATAAATGCTTCCATAGATATAGATACACAGATACATATACGTATATATAATTATATATATATACATACATAGATACATAATATAGATACATATAGATACACATAGATACACATAGATACATATAATTAGATACATATAGATACATATATGGATACACATAAATACATATATACATACATGCACGGAATTGTGAGGTCGTAAAAACCTCTATGTCGAGCATGTTGTAGTCCCCGAGACGATCTGCGGTTTCCAGCAACAGAGTCTGAATGAGTCAGGAAAACGTTCAGGAAATCCCTTCTCTTAGTACTGCGAACCCGGATTAACTCATCCATTAAATCCCATTAACTAAATCCCATTAAATCCAGCTTGTTTTGATAGTATAAGCGGCAGGAAATCGATTAGTGCACTTGCCAGCCGTTGCTGGTCATTTTTCTTTGCCGACCTAGCTGCTGACGGCGTATGACTGGATTTGGTTTGGGGAAGTACCCCTTGGCATTCTGCCTGGCAATTCCATCTTGTCTTGTCATGTCATCTCATGTCATGTCAATGTGATGTGATGTACATGTGTATATATAATTAATTATAGTTATATAATATGTATATTGCCTGGCACGCATATTTGTCTGTTTGCTTGTCTTTTCTGTTTGTCTCTTGTTCTATCTAGTCCACCCCACCCTCATCCATCGATCCATCCGTCAATCTACTCATTGATCCAACTCTCTATCTATGCGTGCATATATATATTCTACAGATAGATATACATATAGTATACATACACCGTACAATTACAGATATATGTATATACAGTGCATGTATATATATATATATATTGATTTATTACAGGTTGCCCCTGCCCCTGCACACTAAGGCTGGCAAATCTTCCCAGCTTCATGTCTGCTTGGGAGGCCAAGGCGCACCGCTAGCCTTGGGTCATCCATGACGACTGGATGATGCTTTCGGGGGGTACCTCCATGGCCATGACAAAACGGACACCTCCAATATATGTTCATATGTTTTTTTTGCAATGAACATGATGGGAAACATGATGGACACATTCTGAACATGCCACCGTGTGAACCCCACCAATTGGTTCAAAATGAAAACATGTTTTACACAGTGCCAAGAAGTCATCCAGTGGTTAGGAGCGGTTCAGAGCTAGGGGTATTTGAGTCATTTCATATTCCCTATTGCATGCGGGAGCCAAGGAGCTACTTATATAGAGTTTACCAGCCACATGATAGTGATTAGTTACATCTTCATTATCCCATATTACCAATACCAGCAGGACCACCTATAGGAGAGGTTTGGTTGTTGTGACGCAAGGATGGCAGAGCGAACCCACTGATGGATCGAAAGGTGGCTGAGGCTCTGAGTCTCTGATTCTCTCTCTCTGTCTCCTGTTCGTCTCTGTTTGCAAGTCTCATTCTCTTTGCATATCCGTTTGCTTGTCTCTATGTCCATCCATTTCTCCGAAGATCTATTTCCTTACGACCTTTCTGTTTATCTATCTTTTGACTTTGAAATGTGATTCGCGCCACAGCAGGGTTTCAATTTGTCATCTCCATCTCCCCAGATTGCTCCGCACCCACCGCTTTAGCGAGCCTACTTGTCGACCCTCTGGAGCCAAAAAACATTGGAAAAAAACACAGTGTTTTGCGACTTTTCGACCTTTTCGCGCACTTTGATCTTCTTTCTTCTGACTTCTTCTCTTCTGACTCTTTCTTTCTTCTGACTGCTCTCACCGGGTTGCTTTATAATCCCATATAATCCCTATTGATGGTCATAAATCAAAACTCAATCTTCCACTATGGGCCGAATCTGGTATGTGTGGTGATCAAACTCCGGCCGCGCAGCTCCCTGGAAGTCCGCAAGTTTGAACTTACCATTGATTAATTCTTTGGAATCGCCTCCTAGTCTCATCATTGAATCTAAATCTGGTGTTTATGAATGACTCCTCAAATTGACACCTATATTTCAGCTCTTGGAAGTTTTTATTTTTCATGGTTAAAACAAGCTAAACATTGGATGATTTTCATGATCGAACCAACATTTTTCATCAAACATATTTGGCTCTCCAGCCTCACCACGTCATGTCACATCCGAATTGCCTCGAATAAAACGCAGGTGGAGCTGCAATTGAAGCTGGACATCTGGGTGCGCGCGAGATGGGGGCCATACCATGGCAATTCCTAATATATGCTGGTGAATGAACCAATCTCTGTACTGGATTTATTGAAATAATAAATAGGAAACTTGTGAAAATTTCATACCCTAAAAATTGATAAAAACGGATCATGAATATTAAAACATGACCAAAATCAGCAGGTATGATAAGTATCAAAATTCATTTGAAAGTATATCCCATGTTGAGAAAAATGAGCATACAATGGGAGCAAAGGAGTTGCCGATTTGTTTCACACCTAATCAGAATGTTCAACCGTTTATTGGAAAGCAAATGGAAGGATGGTTAGAATGCGGGTAAAACAATTCAAAAAAAAAAACATCAACAAAAAAAAACACATTCCCAAAATCACCATAAATGGATGGTATCAACCATTAAAAACAGGCTGGTTTATGACAGTGTTTTACCCCACTGGAGGTTGACCTGTCAACCTCCTTGGGATGACTTAAGATGAATTCCCATGCGTTGTAGCAGTTCTGCTTGGGGGTGATCCACCACCATCAACCCCACCCAGGGCAAACATCAAATCCGGTAAAAATAACACCCTTTTTTGCTGGGTAAAACTTGGTAAAGCCATGCAAAAAACACGTGTTTTTTTGGGACGAAATCGCCTAGGTCTGACTGAACATACCATTAAATCTATTGGTTAATCATCATTTTCCCGATAAACATATTCGAAGTACCATCAAATGATATAAAATAGATTAAAATAGTATATACACATAATGTAACATGATATAGCATAACCAGCATAATCTACTCTATCTTTGATATTTATATATAATACATAAATATATACACAGTACATCAATAAATGACATTATCATCAATAAATATATACTGTAGATATACCCTCTGGTAAATTAGAAACATGTGCTTCTCAAGGAATCACCTTCACCCCGTTGGTTATGGAGAGCACAGGGGCTTGGGAAAGCCAAGCGGCCTGTGTCCTGCACAAGATCGCCACCGCGGCCGCCCTCCGCTTAGGGCAAGATCGGGCCCAAGTCTTCCAAACTTTGCTCCAGGAATTGGGAGTTCTGGGTCGGTCCTTTCGAGCTCGAGCAGTTCTTCGGCGTCGGCTTGCCATGACGGACAGTTGAGTGCGGAAGGAGTGCCAATCAAGGTTGCTTTGTTGAGTCCAGGACTTGCCTTTTTTTTCTCTACTACTGGCAGGCGTGGACTAGTCTTCCATTTTTCCTGCCTTTGTTTTGGGTGATCCAACTGGTTGACCTGAAGGGTGCGCCTCTTGGACCCCTGTACGTGTCTCCAGGGTGGCTCTGATGGGTGACAGTTGGGAGCGTCTGCTGCCTGTGGGCTCACAGCCAAAGTTGTCGTTGCTCACCCTTGGCAGCTTCCACTGCCACCCCACCAGCAAAGGGTGGTTTGGGCCCTGTGCACGTTCTGGTTTCCAGGGATCCCAATGTCGGACCCTGTCCAAGGGGTTTGGGGACCCAAGGCTCAGATTGTGTCAGATTGCCAATTTCCAATTCAATTTTTTCGACGGGAGTTTTAGGGATCGTGCATCAATTGTTAGGTTTCTCAAGCAAGTAGGGTCAAAGCGTGGCAGAGAGAATTAGAAACATTGATTTTGTTTTTATTATTTTTCATAGGGTGCATTGATTTATAACCCATTTATAGTTGATTTACCTACGAAAGATTGTGATTTTCCATTGTTATGTAAACCACCAACCAGTGATAAACCATGGATATAAACCAATAACTGGTGATTTATGGATATAAACCATTTGATATACCTCTGATTTTCCTGATATACCAGTGATTTTCCATTTGATGAACCTCTTGTGCTGCCAGGCCTGGATAGTCCCAGCCGCAGCGCCAGCCGCCGCCCGGTTCCCGACGACAGGTCGCTGGGACAGGTCGTCGGACAGGTGGGACAGGTCGCCCGGCGGCGCAGCCGTGCGGAGTCGCACCTGAGTCACCTGAGCCACTGGGCAGCAGTTGGTAAACACAAAAAAAAACTAACAAACAAAAAGTTTATATGTTTTAGGATCATCTGACTATAGGATTATTCATACTTCAGTTGTAAATAACTATAGGAGAACTATAGTGGATTTATTTGATATGGTGTTATACATGTCATCATCTAGTTAATTTTCCATGTCATTTGTATGGTCTAGCATTAATAGATAGATAAACTAGGTCATGTTTGAGGCAAATAAATGTTGGTAAGTATTCCATACGCGGAGCATTTGGGAAACATGGCTAGCATTTATTTCCGTGGATCAACAGCTGAAGCAGCAGCTGCTAGGCAAGACCTTTTTCGTCTCGCCCTTGAGCCAACTTTCGTTGGCTTGAGCCATTTTGCAATGGCAGTCACATGTCATCCTTGCGCAGTGGCCATGCTATGTTTGGTGCATGCCACCACATGTCAACTTCTAAGTTTTAAAATCCACAGCAGCTGGTGGAATGCTTCATGAATCGCACTCCCCCCCGCAGCTTGCTGCGGAACATCAAAAGTTCAGCCAAAATGGCTTTCGTAGCCCGGCTCTCAGCAGTGCTTCTTCCAGTCTTCATAATTTTCAGGGCTCCTCCTCATTGGCATTGACATCATCGGACTCCTCATCAGTCACCAGAGCCCATTCTTCGACCAGCGGTTGGTAGGATCTTGGGACTGAGGGAGCAGCAGGAGTAGCGCTCGAGCTTGAGGAGGGCACCACAGCAGCGACACCACGTTGAATGACGCCACCACCTCTATTGTAGCCCACAGACATTGGAGCTGCAGACTTGTTGTACGGGCTTGTCGGACCCGCAATTGGTTCCACCTGGAGTTCTCGGGACTCAGCACTGGACATAGTTCCTGTGCCGCTAGCTGCAAGACATCCATCTAGGTACAGCTTCCCGATCAAAAGGCCAGGTTCACGGTGAGGTCTTTGACGCCTCGGAGTATGCATTTCATAGTGGCGTCCCACATGCACCTCGAGGTCATCGTCATTGGTGGACTGCTGTTGAGGCCAAGGCGGCCCAGCAGTCACTGTTGCCGGTTCCAGCTGTATGTTCAGGTTGAGGTCATCCATGGCTTCCATTTTCATCTTGAGGAACGTAAACCCCACCCACTGAAACTCAGCTCGAACCACAGGGTCACTCCACTGGTCGGCGACCAGAAAGCCTGGTCCATTTCTTCCATCCACATAGAACGCCTTTGTGATGCGCTCACCTGTGAGGAATTTGGCATCAACTGGCGCACTTCGGTGCAAGGGGTGGAACCTCTGTTTTCGGGCAGCTCTATGGATTCGCACCAGGTAGATGCTTTGGTCACATTTGGTCACGGACCATCCATCTTTCTTTCCACTCCTGCTCGGGGCGCCAAAACGCTCATCCAACCATGGACCTTGTTGAGGCATTTGGTCAAGTTGAGTGCCTCCTGCCTTTTTCATGGCCTTTTCTGCGGCCAGGCGAGCTGGAGGGAACTTTGGCATAGCCCCTATGTAAGGGTCTTGTCGTGCTCGAGAACCATCCGAGCTGGCAGCAGTTGAGGTACCCTGCAAAGCGGCAGCACACTGCAACATCATTGGCGGCGCCTTTCGGCGTACAGCAGCAGCAGCGGGCACCGCAGCGGCTTCGCCTGTCGTCTGCGGCGGCAGCGGCGGCGCAGGTTTTGACATCTTTGGGGCCATGGCAGCTAAACGCACGGCCGGAACTTTTGGGCAGCCCGTAGGGCAGTGGTAGGTATCAGCCAACAGTGGCTGCAACATTTCAACAGCATCTTCAGAGTCACCACCAACGGACTCAAAACTGTTGTGCGCCATGCCACAGCTGTTTCCTGCCACAAAATCCCCAAAAACGGGACCTTCTTCGGGGTTACTATCCCAAAAATCCCTTTGACTTTCATAGGTTCGGTGAGCCCAAAATTGGTTTTTGAGGGGTTCATCCCAAACCTTCCCAAAACTGTTTTCTCCAGGTTCATCTTCCCTTGGAGATCTCACACATTTTTTGGTTTTTATTTGAGGGTTTATGCCTCCAGGTTCATTTTCCCTTGGAGGTTTTTCTTTGGCCGGTTCATCTCCCCTGGCATCTTTTTCACTTTTAAGGCCAATGGCTCTTGATGGTTTTTCCACCTCCCTCCCGTCTAAACAGATCTCTTTGGATCGATCCGTTGATGAAGGCGCAGGGTGCCAGTTGCAAGCCAGCCATCCAGCGCATGCAGCAGCAGCAGTAGCACAGGCCAGCCGCACGTCAGCTCGCCCAGCTGCTGAAGACGCCACAGCCAGCGCAGCCATAGCCACGATCACCTTCACCTTGGTCACCACATCATCAGATCCCTTAGTTTCATCAGGTCCTGAAGTGGCGGTTGTTTTGGAAGACCCTTTGGAGGTTTTTTGAGGTGTGTTTTCGGGGTCATATTTGGGGATTGACGCATCGACATGAAACCCAAGGAAATGCCAGAACTTAACCCAATCCCTCAACAACGTGATTGGTTTGGTGAGCATGTCAGCGGGAAGGTCAACTCCCCTTTGGTGTCTGACTTTCCATGTTTGGGGGTCACTTTTCAACAACTCACGCAAGCAAGACGAACGAAGCCTCAAATGGCGTGTTCTCCATCCACCATCAGGGTTCATAAGTATGCTAAGTGCACTGGAATTGTCCCCATAAATAACCTTTTCAAACCCATCAAGACCATCACCCGTGTTGCATGAACCATGGATAACCTTCAATAGGGCTTCAGCAGATTTCAACATTGTTGTGGCTTCGCAGTATCCAACCAATTCGGATTCCGCTGTGCTCATGGTGTGAAATGCCTGCCGAGTTGCCTCCCACTGAATTGGAGATCCTGCAGCACATAGAATGATGCCCTGGTGACTGCGGTCACCTTGAGGAGCGAAGCTGATATCGGCGAAGGCCTCAATGAGCTTCTCATGCCTTGGTACCTGAAGTGTGCCATGTGCACCGTGGTCCTTGTTGCAAGGGCGGTACAGGAGGCAAGTTTCTGGGGTGTTACACAAAAACCCTAGCACGTGTTGTCCCAACTGTTGGACCCACCTTGGTTTTCTAGTAACATTCCTTCCCATGACACTTACAGCATAGGCTATGTCAGGCCTACTTCTCACAGAAAGCCAAAGCAGTTCACCTGTGATTGCTTGGGCTGCACGGACATCAGGTGTTGTGATATCCGTTTCATCCGTTTCTGAACTGTCCAGTTTTGGCATGGGGCATGACTTTGGGGAAACATGTTCATGACGTTTCAACAACTCAGCAGTGTAAGACTTTTGTCCTACCATCAGACTCACCCCATCATCATGTCTTTTCAACTCAAAACCACAAAACCGGATCCATTCATTTTTGTCAACAGTTTCAACATCGGAACATTTCCATTCCTGTTTCAACCGGTCAAAAAAGGAGTTTCGAACATTGTCATTTGCAAGAGCCATGATGTCGTCCACATAAACAATAACATGACCTTCACATGTTGGTTCGGCATCCCCATGACCATGTTTCATGATTTTCCACAAGTTCCCTTCTTCAGTTCTTTTGAGGGAAAAGTCACAACCATCCATCTTCCATGCGAACCCACTCATGACCTGATCCCTGTGCACGGCCCAATGTGCCGGGCTTGACGTGAACCCATATAAAGCATTATGAACTCTCCACCGTTCAGAAGGGCTGCAAACTTTGGCTTCCACAAGTATTTTTGGGGGCACAACAATCACTTCCCGGGCATCTTGAGGTTTCGGCCGAGGAGCAAGGAGAAATGCTGTGCGAATGTCGGTAATGCCAGCGCCCCATCCCATCTGCACGGAGTGAGCCAGTGTAGCTCGGATCAGAATGCCATCGGCGCCAGAAGCGTAGAGATTGCCCGGAGCTGGATCCAAGTCACTTTGCAGCAGGTTTCCACAAACTACTGCTCTACATTTCTTTTTACCACCCTTTGGACCCGCTTTTCGAACAGTCACAAGTTTTCCAGGGACAAACTCAACCGCTTCTTGGTTCAACATGGAAAGGTCAACAGGTTCAATGGCCTTAGTTTCATGGACCAAACTGTTGTATTCTTTCATCATCGCATCTTCCCATTCCCCAAGTTCATTTCGGACTTCATTCAAAGGGATTGTGGTTGTTTGCAAGACCTCCCCCGGATTCACGGCCATGACATCATCAGTTTGAAGGCCACACATTTTAATAACCCGTTTATTTTGGGCATCACGGACCAGGAACAAGTCATTTTCCAACCGTTCTTTTTCCCCTTGAAGCCATTGGATATCAGCCCCACAAATTTCCCCAAGAGATTTCGTAGTGGGAACAACATCCAACAGGTCTTGTAATGAACTGGAAATGGTTTGGTGTTTCCAACCCAAACATTTTTCCAAACAATCCAAAGATTCCAACTTGGCAACAACCCTTGATTTCGTCCCCAAACCAAAATTTTCAGGGTTTTTTGGGTGGCTATCTCCCCCGGACCCAGCTTCAACATTCAACCCCTTAACAAACCGTAGTGCCTCCCTAAGGTTTTCTTGGTCGATTTCATCAAAGATCCCCAACATTTCATCCCCATTATCCCCATGTTCACCATCAACCTCAAGAACAACTTCATTTCGGGGTTCATTTTCAGGAATTTTTTCAAGTTGAGAATCCAAAACCAAAGAGGACTCCCCCCCGCGATCCAATCGCGGCAGTGGCGGCAGTTTCATGGGTGCTGGTCCTGGAGGTGGCTGCTTATGCCAAAGACGCAAGTGAGGTTTGCCAGGCCGCAGGTCTTCTTCGAGTTGCAGTTGGGCTTGATCGCCCAGTGGATCTGGCAGTATGGCCTCACGAGCATGCAAAACATGTTGGTCCTTAGTCGTTCGGACAAGCCAACCTGAAGTCATGTCAGGGCTTGGACACAACAACCGTGTTTCAACAAAAGGTTGAGCCAACAAATTCCCTTTGTCATGCCATCTTTTTCTTTTGACCAAAACCAGGGAATTGTACGGCAACATTTTTTGAACAGGGGA